GTCTAGAGTGACAGCGTTATTTGCTATTGCCATAGATGTTTGTCCCATGTCTTTTGTTCTACGCGGGAACTCGATCAAAAAAGATTTCACCAAAAAAACTCCCATTTAAATCTTCTTCTTCTTTTTTGTATATCAAAGATCTGGTAATATGTTTTTCAAATTTTGTTCTTTTGTATTCATTTTAAGTCTCTAGGCATCATTACTACATTTTGAACTGCTCTCCTGTGCGCTGTAATGTCAACAAACGTCACCATTTTTTCGTGTGTTGTGTTTAGCACTTTCACATTTCGAATGCTCGGGAAACTGAAAAAAATGAATTGAGAAATAAATTAAACAATTCAAATGCCTTGAAATTTTCAAAAAGACGTCACAATAGATTGTTGAATGATAAAAATAGGATAATTTAATACCCCTGTCTTATCTACATTATAATACTTTTATTTCGAAATAATACTCGTGTATAATGAAACTCTGGTTTTTAGCAATTTTATGTGATCCTGTTCAAGGCAGGATGTTGACCCCATAGTCGCCATTTTAAAGTTACGTGCAAAAATATAGTTCGCTTTTGAGATAATACAAACGCTAAATAAAGTAACAAAAATAAAACGAAGTTTTATCTATATAAAATAAACATTAGTAGTAATGAAAAACTTCATAAGTCAAAGAACATAGTTCATTAGCGTAAGGATTTTTGATAATCAGTGTTACCGTAGTTCTCTACACATACGAGGTAAAGCAGGAGAGGGAACAGACTGGCCTGTTTGTTTACATTCAGCTGCGGTACCAGATTAATTCTGATTCTGACAAAATCGGACCGTGGTATTAGGATTGAAAAACTCACTGTCAGTGTCTTATCGTTTATGTTGATAGTTTTAAAATAATTTTTTCATCAGAATGTAAACGTGATTCATGTAAGAAATCCATTCTACTCTGTAAATGAGCCCGGCTCTCTGTACTTCTGAGTACTTTGATTTGACTGTGCACTGTAGGACCGTACCCTGTGCAAAAACAAGCATTATAAAATCATTATTTTTGTCCATGTTTAATCATAAAAGTTAAAGCCATATATGGCGTATGTACAATGAAAATTATTAGACTAAGATTATAAGAACTTATTATTTGTATCATTACTTTATATAAAGATAGAACTTTTCCGTAAATTACAAAATCTAAGTCAATTGCGTTATACAGATATCACAATTTAATTTGGACTCTCGGAATTTTCTCCGACTCGGAAGAAAATACAAAAGATTTAAATAACACATTACAGAGAAGATAAAATCGTATTATTAGATGAAACGAGGTGTTCTCCATGTTCAGAATTGTATGAAAAGCTTTAATTTAAATGTATTAACTATATTTCTGTACTTTAATTTTGAATTTTTCAAAAAAATATTTTTTCGATCAGTTACGCCATATATGGCTTTAAATGCACTTAAATATGATAAACATTTGCTGAAAATTTCAGCGTACTGCGCCCTTAATTTTCCGAGAAAAACACTTTGTCCACGATTTTACCGGACAACCCTCGTAGATCTCACAAAGACAAAGTGACTGAAATGACATAATATACTTAAAGTACATATATGGAGTGTTTCCTCATTAGGCACATGTTTATGAGCAAATAGATGATTAGGCACTTAAATAAGGAAATAGTACCGTTTCAAAAATGCAATGGTGTACATATTTCTTTTCTTTTTTTTTTTTTTTCTTCTCAATAGTTTCGGTTGGGAGATAAACCTGTCTTGTGATTCAAAGACGTTAGGAAAAAAAGTTACGGGAATACTTACTGGTTCAGGTGACAATAAAGAAACAATTGTTTCGATATATTTCCTTTCAGGACTTTATAATATTTAAAAGTAGAAATATGTCCATAGGACATGAATGCCCCGCCGAGGGTATATTAGTTATGCAACATGAAAATTTGTATTAGTGTATGAAATTTGATCGGAATATTTTGAATAGTTTCTTTAAAATTGAAATTTAAAAAGTTGGATATAGATGATAAATTCTCACAAAATTATGTATAAGTGCATAGGCTTACATATTAAATACATCTTTAAAGGTTTCTTTAAAACTAAGCAGAATGCAAATTTAAGAAATGTAAGGTAAAAGTCAAAGGAAAGCTCAAGGTTAAACATTTTTATGCTGTTGAATAGTTCTCATATATACTTATCAGCACAGTTTAATAAAAATATTTTGAATGTTAGAACAGAGATAAACACTAATTTAAAATAAACGAAGCTGAGGTCAAAGGAAACGTCAAGGTAAAAAATGTTGATGGAGTTGAAAAAACTTACATCAATATGTATTAGCATATGAAGTTGATAAAAATATTATGAATGGTTTCTTTAAAACTGAGTTAACAGTAATTGATAAAAGTGGGGTCAAGCTTAAATGAAAGGTCAAGGTCAAAAATGGTGATGCAGTTGAATTGCTTACATCAGTATGTATCAACATATGAAGTTTGACACTAATTTAAGAAAAGTGAGGCCAAGGTCAAGGTAAAAAAATGTTGATGCAATTGAATAAGTTTCATCAGTATGTATCAGCATATTCATCAGTACGTATCAGCATATGAGGATTGTTATGAAGATTGAAAACCAATACCAGTAGGGTAGATCGAACTAACCTTGTTAAATTGGAATATTTTATGAAGTTTGACAAAAAAACATTTTGAATGGTTTCTTTAAAACTGAGCTATAAACACTTATTAAAGAAAAGTGAGGTCAAAATTGCTGATGCAGTTGAATAGCTCTCATTTTAGGGATATACCAGTATGCCTTGACCAAGAAAGCCGCAAAAAGAAATGATTAAGAGGTCGTAGAGAAAACATCAGGAAATTAAACTTTTCCTTTTCACAAGATTTATTTTTTCTTGTGAAAGAGGCAATTATTTAGCAAGTGGAATTTCTGTCAAAAAGTGAGATGCTCCTAGATACATTGGTACACAGGCATTTGGATCGCTTAAATCCGACTTTAAGAAATTGGGGATGCATAAGAAGGATATTTTTTAAAACCCCAGTCACGTTTCCAAAAACGACCAACGGCCGACGGTTTTTGAAGCAAAAATGGGATTCTTCGGGTGACCGTCGGCAGTTCATCGGCCATTGTCTTGCCCGATTTTGACCTCTTTTTTTTGTCGGCCAACCAATTTTTTGTCCATCGGTCCAAGTTATAATTTTTTATGCGTCGGTGGCCGATTTTGTCAATTGAAGTTATCCGTCGACCAACCTTCGATCATAGTCCGACCATCGGCGGTCATTTTATGGAGTCGGTCGTCCGTCGTTCGACAATAAGGGTGTCAAAAATGTCGACCGACGGTTAAAATCAAACTGTAGCTCAGAGCTCGATGATCGGGTGACGATTGGCCGACTTGATACTTAACCTATTAAAGATACATAACACAAACAAAATTTTGATGCATGGATTGATACATATTTTTTGAACGGAAATAATATAAATAATTAATCCGTAAGATATGAAGAAATCTTTAAGCATTCTTTGCTGATTAGAAATGCACCACTTGTCGTTTTTTATGCAATTCTTTACAAAATTTTGAACACCTTTTCAACATTGAGTCACAATCTTACAAAATTCTACAACTTTGCATCGCAAACATTACTCACTTCACCTATCTGAATATATATCTATGAAAAAAATTGCTGATTTCTAAAGAAAAAAAGATTGTTTGTGTTATTTATCCAAGTCATCGGTGTTCCTAGAAATTAATGTGACTGCTCCGTGTCGGCCGATCATGTTCTTTCAGCCGACAAGACTAGAAAAATGTAGTCGCCCGACCATCGGCTTAAATGTGACCTAGGCATAACCCCGAATTTTTTGCGAGTCGAATTAAAGCGATCTAAAGGCTGGTTTTTGGTACTTCTTGATTCGTCAAACTTTTAAAGCAGGTTTATAACATAAATGCCCAACAGAGCTTTTATTATGCAGGAAACTGCATTGAATCAATGGAATATAGCCGTTTCATTATATTTTCTTTTTAAAAAGAACTTGGTTTAAATTCTACATCTGAAAATCCTTTTATACACACTTTCATTTTCTTAAGATAAAATTCTTTTAGAAAATATGCCAAACTAACGAGGTGAGTTCGATCTACTCTACTGGTATTGGTAAAAATCCTTAAAATCACAGGTACATTTACATTCACGGATTCAGAAGATGCTCGATCTACCAAGCCAATATACCCTGGTATTTTCAATTTAATTAGATAGTAATTGCTGTCAATGAGAAACTTTAGAACTGTATGTGCTACAACACATTTTAGAAATGGTGTAAATTAGACGCGGATTCTCAAAAAAAAATCAAAACAGAGAAGAAAAGCATCCTATTAAATGTTAGCATCATCAAAAAGTAAAACTTTCTCAACCTTATATGAAAAAAAAAGATTCTTGAGTTCCTCATCAACAACATTTATGTAGTCTACAGAGACAACATGTTGGTCTTCCAACAACTTTACCGCCCATCCTTATTATCCGACCTGTTTTTATACATCTATTCATTTGAAGCAAAATTTATTGAAAAACTTTAAAGAGAAAAGAAGGAAACACTTGCTATATAGCATTCAACTAGACTTAATGATATTCCATCCACATCTTATTAACTAACAATAGTTATGTCCATTTATATGACGACTTGAAATATATCAATTTCAAGTAACATTGAAAAAAAAGTCAAACTCTGTCACATTTGTTTAATGTTTGGATGTTTTATTAATTAAAACAGATGAGGATCAACTAACAATCTAAAGACAAAGGTATGACAAAGGAGATGACTTTAGCTTTTCCATCGTCATTTTTCTTTCTTTGCACAAGATGCTTATGACTCCCAACTTATTCGATACTCAAAGCATACTCCGATTATAATGTATTTTTCAACTGAGACGGTCTGCTGACAAAAATATTGATGCTACTTGGATTTCAACAATCTCGTTAAGAGTTTATTCAAGGTACCATTAGGTCATATTTTGGCAGACACGCTTCCTACCAATTGACAGAGCTTTTTCGTTAAACTAGGATTGACTAGGGAGTGTTCCGCCTTACTGCTCAAAACATAGGTTTCACGATAGATGTGATCGGTCAACAGGGGATGACTACACCTGATCCCACCTCTGGAACTTCCAAAGGTCCATGCTTTTGCCGTGTTTGCAAATTTGTATTGTTTGCAGATTTTTTTTTTGCAATCGATCACTGTTTGGTTTATTAATATATTTTTCATTTTCACGAGTGAAAGTGCTCTATTTAAATGCCTTAATCCCGATCTTGGTGTAACATGAAAGTCTTGCGGAAGTCAAGATTTATTGCTTTTCTTTATCTTCATGTTTCCGGCAACCATAAAAGAAAAATATAAATAAACAAAATATGAAATATACACATGTTGTATTAAATTTTAAACTCGTCATGAATTTCATAAATGTGATTAATATATATATTTTTTAATATAAGTCGCAATTGCAAGTTCTGAATATACAGTCATGTACATTGTAAATGCATATATGAAAAGGATATTGTTTTTGTTTAGATAATGGTCCAGGATATGTTGTCCAATCAATGTCTGATAATACATGTGCAGCTGTCCAACTACAAGAAAATATCGGTGCATTTCAATTCTTCACGGATACAATCAAATTAAACTTTAAACCAGCATGCAGCAAACGTGAGTGAATTTTCCGTTGTAAATTCACTTTTCGCTTCCTCTTTCATGTACATTTTGTCGGAAAATACATGTATAACAAAAATTCACCCACATGCTTTTTTCCCCGTAAAATGCAGTGACAAAGACGCCACACGTATTGTTCTTCAGTTTCCAGTAAATCTGTAAGTAAGCTTAAATTAGAGATCGTATTTTAATTACCATTTATTACTAAGACTTTTACATTTACTTGTATTTTTTTAAAGAATATGATAGACTTTTTATTTTAACAGAAGGATGACTGATTTGTCACCAACAAGTACATCTCAGGCCCTCTCCTGCTTCTTTTACACAAACTCTAAGTTGGCACCGACATGCATTCTGTTCATGAGTATTGTTATAATGATGATTTTCTCAACGTCAAAATCAATCCCAAAGCCACGTCCAGTTGTTTGGGGAACAGAAGCCATTATGACATTTATAAGTATGTTTTTTACCTTTCTTGTTTGGTTTCTAGTTCATCGAAACCGACGCAGATATCTTAGAGGACAAATATTGAAGGACGTGTCCCAGAATGTTAAGCTCGTTTTCCTCTGGATATTTGGTCTGGGTAACATTTTAAACTCTGGAATTAATATGGCGGTCAATATCGACTGCTTGATTTACGGTGGTCCTCAGCCATTTGAGGGTGAGCAATCTATAAGTATTCTTTGTCATTTAACCGAAATATTTTTCTGTGTTGGACAGTTAGGGTTTCTAAGCCTTTATGGAACGTACAGATTTAAATCATCGTCTCTTATTAATTACGGAATCTCATTCATGGTCATAGCCCATCTTCTTCGATGGTGTAGAACTTTCTTTGATTCAATATTGCGGGAAAGCAAATCATCTTTATCAAATGAAACGTATATTAATGACTGCTTCTACAACTCCACCATTGTTTCCATCCGACATATGTTCAATCCATACGTTGAACCAATTATTAGTGAGTACTGTTTACTATCTGTGGCTATTGCCATTAAAATGTTTATAACATTTGACTTTGATCCGTGTTTGCATACAGAAGAATCGACAAGGAGACTGGAGGATACATGCTCTTGTTCCGATACTGAGAATTCGTCCACCACTTCATGGAATATGGTCGAAATGCAGAGACGTCGGAACTCATTCTTTTTGTCCATTGGAAGCGGGATCATTTTATCCCTTCCTTTTGCTGTGGCTTATTTTTTACTCGGTTTCAACAACCATAATATGCCTGACATTTATAGAATAATAAGAATACCATATGACTTAATGGTTTTATTTCTGTTATGTTTTGGATACAGACAATTCAACGTACAATTCCATGAAAATTTACGAAGACAAAGAGCGAAACCTATAAATCACCCAGTCCTTACCTTCGTCACGGCGGGAGCGATAGCTTACACCACATTTGGTTGTATAGCAGGAATAATGTTTTTACACCAATCCTCTGGACGTGCTCTTTTAGCTGATAAAATCATTCAGGCCATCGGCATCCTATTCCAGACCAAGCTTATACTCCACGTTCAAACATTCGTCTTCAAAGACGCAACTGTTCGTGTGACCTTTTTTAAAGTACACAGCATCTTTTTATGTGTATTCGTTATGAACATAATTCATTGGACACTTACTACATTTGGTTCTAGAAAACCCAAAGACACGATGCACCTTGAGGTAGATTTTTATGGAGAGGACTATCTAAGAGTGATTATGCAAATGATGTTCCCTATCATGCTGTTTTACCGATTTCTGACAGCAATAGAAATGTATGAACTTTATAAAAAGACTGATATCTACAGATAAAGTTGACATTTACCACTTATATATTTCATATGTTCATGTGTAATTCTATAATTGTGCAAAATTGTATATGAGTTCTTATTTCAACGAATGCTTCGTCATAATAGTATACATTTTTCAGCAATATAGAATACTTTTATGCATTTGGTCAAAAATGAATTTACGAAGAACCACACAATTGTTTTTTTTTCAATGACCCTCTTAAACACTATTGTATATTTTTAGAGTTCTTTTTAAAATGACACATAATCTTCTTATTCAATCTTTTTAGTTTTTTATGTTTTAGAAGCATAGTTGACGATTATTTGATTTATAAAAGATTTACAGCTTTTGTCTATAAATAATATAAAAATGCATTGGAAACACTGAACTAGATAGTGGGTAACAAGGAAATGAAAGTACACACGTTCTTTAAAATTTTTCTTGGGCGAGATATATTTTAAGGATCCACATATTTCCGTATTACCCATGTAAGTGTCTACTTAACGGGTATGTCCTGTCAATGATAACAAACTTCAATTTAATTTAGCCAAGCTTGCTCAAACCGTTCCAAGCCATTGTTTATTAACTGTGGTTACTTCTATATGTTGACTATATATATCCAAGTGAACTTGATATGAAAGGCGCCACAGAGTTTGTCCCATTTGTTTCATATTTTTATGTTTATTGACATATGGCCATAAGTGGGTCATAATTGCATTTTTACACTATATATTTCATTGAAAAACCATTATTTATAAGACCTAATTGCGGGGTCAATCTTAGTTTAATTTCTATGATTTTTACACTGAGTCAGAATTGTACAATTGCTCTAATTTTTACTTCTTAAATCCTTAGAAATTTAAACCTTAAAATCTTAAAACAAAATGATACATTAATCAATGAGAATAATTTATGAAACCATCAAGACAAAAACTTCTAGCCTCAAATTACTATGATTTCTTTACAAATAAAATTTTTCATATTGCATTTAAAATGTAATTATATCTCTGCAAAGCCTGCAGATAAAATTATTTTGAAGAAACTGCAAAGCATTCTACATTTAATGGTGTTTTAGTCTTAAAAAATGAGCTACAAATAATATTGCAATACTACTTTAGAAAAAAACACATTTTTCAATTAAATATATAGTAGGAAAGCGAATTATGACTCACTTATAGCCAGGTACTGTACTAACAACTGAACTGTATGACAGATGAGACAACTTAGTTTTTCTACCGTCAATGCTCCTTATTTTGGGTAGATATATCCCTTTATCACCAGTACATTGTGTTTGTCTCCCAACTTATTCGATATCCAGGAATATCTTCTGAACAAAATCAGTTTTGAAACCGATGCAGGCTACTAACAGAAAAGTTTAGTTTACAGGGTTTTTAAGCTAGTTCTTTAGTCAGATTTTTGTAAAATTTATAGCCGTTTTAATGACATTGTCAGTAAATATATCAATATTATGGACTCTTTTGGTGGTGAATATGGTGTTATTCAATTATTGAATACGATTTTATACCAACTGCTCGGTCTCAACTTTTATACTTAATTGACTATGGCATAATAGTATAATGTCTATTCATGATCAATACATAGGGCACACGGTGGGTGTGACCAGTCGACAGGGAATGCTTACTCTTTCTGAGCACCTTATGCTTTTCTGGAATTCCCACGGGTCCGTGTTGTTGGCCATGTTCACAAATTTGTAATGTTTGAAGATTCGTTTAAAGTCAGTTACATTGACTGTTTGTTATCTTCGCCTCTTTCATTATTTTGTCGACCTCAACATTAAAAAAAAAAAACCCATCAGTTTCAAACATCTTTGAGGACAAAATATTGTTTAATTTACATGTATACCCTCTCTCTCGACGACTCGGCAAAATGTCAAAGTGTTAATCAGATGCATGCAGCGAACTACATTGAAAGACTATTTTATTTATATTTAGATATTCCATAGAAGCATGCTATACGTAGCAAAAATAGTGCTACCGCTATTTCAAGTTCATTTTATTCACCCAAACCAAGATTGGTACATGAGGTTCAAATAACATATATACATTACATATACAAACTGGTCAGAGGTACATAATTTATATACATGTATTACAAAAAGATGAGAGATGAATGAAATAGGAAAGAATTGGATGAAAATAAGAGGAAAAATATAATTCCATTGTCAATTTTTGAAACCATAAAATCAATAATTTAAGCCTCTCATTCATTAATAAAAATAATAAACTTTAAAAGTCACATTAAATTTCATTCAATAGTAAAATCAAATTGTCTTTTTAAAGCACTTGCCGTTTTAACTCCAAATCACTACAGACGGGCGTGCAGACAGGCGGACGGATGAGCGGACATCACGATCACTGTATACTAGTACCCTCCAATTCTTCATATGAGCGGTATAATGAATGAGGTTACATCCGCCTTGCATTTGACTTGCACTTGCGTCCTCGATAGATAACTCTATCTACATGTAATTATTTGTAATGATTCTCTTCTAAAAGGTCCATGATTGTATCGTGAAACCCTAGTTTATCCCCCTGAAAATAGCCTTTTGATTATTCCGCTTGTATCATGGAATTTTCTGTGCCAATTAAAATCTCTTTTCTACTTAATCTCTTTTGTTAATTTCCTGGATCTGATTCAGCCTCTTGGTTAATTGTTAATTTTAAAGATATTTTTATTGGGCGAGAAAAGAACACAGGAACCTGATGCAGAGATTCCAAAAAATGATATAATTTGCAATATTAACAGTTGTATACATGTATTTGGCTTTCTTAAATAAACATTAAATCCCGCATGCATGTTGTTTTTTATCTTTAGTTTTAGTTTGATATTTATTTTTGTCATTTGGGTTTTGTTTTCTTTTTACATATTTGTCTTGGTCTTGATTGTTAATTTGATTACTTAGATATCAAATTCCGATGGTAACATTCCTCGCAAATAGGAATGGTGGTTGCAACAAATGTCAAATTTTCAATATGAAACTGAAACCACACAAATCATTTTCTTATCTTTTTATATCGATTGGCGGCATCATATTTCCCCATTCTCAAGTGTTCTAGTTTCAAAGCATGTAAGATAAAGTATTATTTGATATGCAAGGTGCAAACAGAAGCGTTAAACAGATAGAGACACCATATTTAGTAGATGACCACGGCGGACAATGAGGTAATTTTTCTGTTTCAAAGTTGCATTTTTTTAGATTAAAAAATTTATACTCTTTTGACTCCTTTTATACGTGCGTAATTTTTCTCTCAGTACTCTATCTTTATATACCATGTTTCTATCAAAGTTTTTAAAAAAAAATATTTTATTCGGATGTAAGAGTAATCTCTCAGAAGAATACTTTCATATACCTTGTATGCATGAGTAAAATCTTAAAATATCATTTAGAATTAAGAAAAAGAAGTAGGATAAGAAGGGGTACTAGTAAACTACAAACTAGCTTACTAAAAAGTAAGTCACAAAACCACATTTTAGAAACATAATGATTAAAGTACGACATTGGGATTAGAGTAAGTCTTACATTGTTTGTTTTTCCCTCTCCAGACCTACTGGCTAAAAATGGCCCGACTCAATATAATGTGTCCTCCAAGAAACGATGTTTTTATTTCTTTCTAGTATTTTCTCATCCTGTAAACAAATATTTTAACTTATTAATACCTTCACTTTTAACAGATCTTGAAAATTCAGCATTGGTTTTGAAGTTTTCTGGAGGGAAAAATTCCTAGGTTTTTATCAACCCATTTTTTCTTAAGTTAAGACTAGAGGTACTGTGAGCAATGAGCTCACTAAATGATACCCCCGCCTCCCACATGAATATAATGGCAGTGTCCATGTTTTGCTATGGGAAATCCAAAATATGTGTCGGATCAAAAAGTAAAATAGGAGGTGCACAATGGGAATATGTAATAAATATTCTGAGAAAGTTTCATCAAATATCACTCAGGTATGAGAGGAGTTGCGGATAAGAGATGGGTACCCCAAAGCGTAACAGACAGACGTACAGATGGACGGACGGACGGACAGATATAATGATTACTATATACCCTCCCGCTTTTCAAGCGGAGGGTATAAAAACCAACAAAAATCATTTTAAAGGTAGCTTAAGGTATAATTTTACTCAGATTACAAAAAATCCACTGATAAGAATGAAAAACCACCTATTGCACATTGTACACCTATGACTCTTGTGTTAAATTGCAATCTCAAATAAGCAGGTCAATGACCTACTTTTCATACTGGTGGCCCCTGAGTATTTTTCGGAAAATACCTCAATTTTTTGACACTATAATCAGTTTTTCCTTTATTCACAAAATATTACAAGCAACACAACTCCTTAACTAATGAAATATTATAGGAACGGAACAGCTTTGCTTCATTTTAATAAATGATTAGAGTTTAGGCCATAAACTTATTAATTATTACAGTCCGAATTTCCTCTGTCATATTTCCATTTCATATCTTAATTTTAATCGAATATTATAAAAATATGAATGATAAGAACTCTAAATTATTTATAACGCCATGTAAATTTTGTTGCCCTTATTCTAATGGTATTAATATCATATGAGGTCAATGATGAAATTATTAAGATATGTGGTCTGGAATGATTTTTGTTCATATTTTTGAATTTCTTTATTTCATAACATTCAATTACCGGTATTTGAAATAATTCATGAGCTTTAATACACATAATATTGCAAAATGATGTTTAAAAATACATGTAACCTTTACATTGTAATTGTTATTGCAAGAAATAGAATTATTTGTCAAAAATGAAACATTTTGTACGAATTTCCTCTGCATCACCATATATCAACTTTTGTTCCAGTATATCTTCTTCAAAAAATAAGATACTAAATTTTTCAATTGACTTTGAGTTAAAACGTAGTTATTACATCCATTAAGAAAATTTTTTATATAACATATTACAGAGTATACTTTATAAAATTTCCTTCCTGACCTCTGAAACCTGAGTAAACGTCATCCTTAAATCTTTCCCTTTGAAGCAAAGAGAGGCTAATATACTATTCTGTTTTGTCCTAAACTAAGAAAAAAATTCATCATTTCCTTAAACTTTTTAAAGAATTATCTCAGTCTCAAGACTTGCTCAAGTCTCTTTCCTAAGCTCGTCCACTACGTTTGTTAATGGCGTCGACCGAGTTTGCCTTTGATAAGGATTGAAACATTTGTAATAGATTTATTTTTCAGTTTTTCAATTTAAAATTTGAATTTTGTCCTGTTGCTACTAAGCTCTGGATTTATCAAACAACAGCAAACTAAGATAAGATTAATCAAGCACACAAAAATTTAAAATTACACAGATTTTGTTGAGTTTTTTTTTTCTGTCTTAAATTTAAAGAAAACAGTGTTGATCTATTGTAAATTGAAAGTCCCTCCACGGTGACGTCTCTATCTCAGCGAAAGATTCTCGAATGAGACGTAAAACGACGTACAATCAACCAATCAAGTACAGTCGCCTGTATCGAGCAGTGGTTAAGAGGTTTGTTTTAGAGTCGCAAAGTACTTGGTTCTATCCTTAAAGGTGCACAGACACAATTTGAAGTTAATATTTTCTCAAATTTTCTGTATATTATCACGACTTATATATTACAATAGCATTTCACACAAAAAATATATTAAAATACTTATTTCGTCTAAAAGTTATTGAAACTTTAAATTTTGGGAGGGGTTTGATTGGCACGTCCTTGCACTTTCACAGATTTTAATTTTATTATCAATACTAAGGAGAAGTGGCAATCTTGTTGTGTATAAATGAAACATATTAAAACTATAATCCAGAAAATTCAGAGTAGAAATGTTCGAAAGCAAAATATACACATAGTATATTATTAGTCCGTGCAGTTGTGGTGAGCAGACTTTAACAATTGAACACGCCCGATGAATCGTAAACCTTAACA